GGGCTCGGGCTCCCTCCCTCAACCGGCTCCGGGGGTCGCTGGGCTTGGGGGGGGGGGAGGGAGCGGGGAGGGGAGCAGCGGGCCCTGGGCCAGCGGCGGGACTTTTCCGGGTCTCCGCAAGGGAACTGGGCCGGGAGCGCCCTCTCACCTTTGACTTGCGCCTCATAGTCGGCCTGCAGCCCCCGCTCCCGGCGCAGCTTCCCGTGCGCGGCCATGGCTTCCGGGCGGCCGCGCCGTCGAGCCCCGCTGCTCCCACGCGGCCGCGAGCGGGCCGGGCGCCTGGACCTGGGGCTCTGCAGCCGGCACCCCGCGCCAGCCCCGCCCCGCCCCGCCCCGCCCCCTCCCCAGCCCCCTCCCTCCGCCCGGCTCCCGGGGCGGGGCGGCCCCGGCAATGCCCGTGAGGGGCTCCAGCCTGGCGGGTCCCGCTACGGCTGGACCTTGCCGCCCCCTCGTGCCGAGCGCTGGGCACACACCTGGGCCGCCCGTGCCTGATGCTCAGCTGCCGGGCAGCCAGGGCCTGGGTGAGAGCCTCAACGTCTCCAGCAAGCCGGCAGCCGCCAGAAGGCGGTCTGCTCGCCACTGCGCAACCACGCCCTTCACAGCACCGCCACGGGGCCCTCGATGCCAGTGGGCTGTGCTACCATAGCTGCTCCGGGCCCTGGACTCCCCTGGGTCACCTGCTTCCCCCAGACTCCCAGGACAGCAGACGGGACCTACCCATCTCAACTGCAGCCATGAGAGAGAAGTGCACGGCTGGAGAGGCTGCTGGGAAGTGCCCAGGGTGGGTGGGGAAGGAAAGTCAGCGGGGGAGAACATAACCTCGGCCATTGTTCCCCCAGGGCCCCCCTTGTTGCAGGAGAGCAGGGTTTGGCTAAGGTTCCCCTTCTGCTCAACCCCATAGGGCGGAACAAGCCTCATTTCCCCATAGGTAGTTACCACTTCCTACCACTTCCTGCTGCCGGAAGAGACTCCTCTGCCTTTCCCCCTGCAGCTGCACCTGCCCTGTTTTAGGCTTGGCGCTGGGGGGTTCAGCCATCCTCTTCCCCCTTCAGAGCAAGGCCTTCGCCAGCCCGAGGGCAGATCTTGGGGCCTCCCTCCACCCCCCTCTACCAACTGGAAGCCGGACGGCTACAGAGTTTCTCCATTAAACTGGGAAGGCACGATGCAGGTGGCAGCTGACAAGCAGGGCTAGACAGTGGTCTCCAGTTGGCTGGGAGGGAGACCCCAGGGGAAAGATGGCGGGAGAGGGGCCCAGGCAGTTCAGCTCCAGGCTTGTGCCGGGGGAGGCAGGCCCGTAGTGCCCAGGGCAAGGAGTCCCAGCAGCCACGTGTGTGCGTGCATGTCAACGTCAGGCCCTGTGCAGACGTGGGCACATATGACCTCGACCTACAGCTCTGGGCGGAAGGGGAGGCTGCGGAGGTACTTCCTGCCTTTAAACTATGAACGGTTCTTTTGCCCAGAAGGGGAAAACATACCTCCTCAGCTCCCCGACCACCCGCCCCAACCCCTGCCCTGTACCAAGGCCCTTCTCTCAAGACAGCATGTGTCCACGGGGACTGGGTTGGGAGGCCTGGGAGCTGGCCGGATGCCAGCAGCCCCGGGACCTGGGCCTCCAGAGGGTAGTCTCAGCAGTACCACTGTCTGAGGCCTCCAGCAAGGCCGGGAGCCCCGTCCAGAAGCACGCATAGGCACTCGCACCCCCAAACCCGCTCCTGTGTCTGGAACCCATGCACCTCATCAGCTAACTCCAACACACCTTGTCCCCCACCCTCCATCTGAGCCCTGACAGGTCCCTCAGTGTCCCTCACCCATCCGGCAGAGCCATGCACAGAGATCAAGCCCACAGGAAACTGCTGTGAACTGGCCTCAGCCCCTACTTTCAAATGGACGGACTAGACGGAGAGGAGATCAATGGGGAGACTGTTAGCTAACCCGGTCAGAGCGAGACTACATGAGGGCATGAATCAGGCAGTGAAGGTCCCACATGAAGATGCTGTGAGGCCCCTATTTTCCTACAAGCCTGCTTTCCAGAAGTTTAAGAATGGGGATTTCAGGGGCACCTGGGTGGTGCAGTCAGCTACGCGTCTGACTTCGGCTCCGGTCATGATCACACCCCTCTTCGAGCCCCACATGGGGCTGTCAGCTGTCTGCATGGAGGACGCTTTGGTTCCTCTCTCTCTCTCCCTCTCTCTGGCCCTCACCAGCTCGTGCTTTCTCTGTCTCAAAAACACATAAAAACATAAAAAAAAAAAAAAAAAAGGGGGGGGGTGAGGCCTTCAGAGGGGCGCCTGGCTGGCTCAGTCGGAAGAGCGTGCAACTCCTGATCTCAAGGTAGTGAGTTCAAGCCCCACGTTGGGCGCAGAGATTACTAAGCGAATAAAAAATAATTTTGGGGTGACCAGGTGGTTCCGTCAATTGGACCTCAGACTCGTGGTTTCGGCTCAGGTCATGATCTGTAGTTTCGTGTGTTCGAGTCCCCGCATGGGCTCCGAGCTGAAAGTGTAAAGCCTGCTTGGGATTCTCTTTCTCTCCCTCTCTCTTCCTTTTCCCCATTCATGCTTGCTACAGCTCTCTCTCAAAATAAATAAACTTAAAAAAAAAAAAAAAAAGGATGAGGGCTTCAAGGGTCAAGGTTGTGCACCCGGTCTGCGTATAGGTGCGTCCTGTGGGGAGCCGTCCCCGGAGCCCACCCCCAGGCCCACGGCGAGGAGGTAAGCGGAGGCCGGGCTTCCGGCCTCAGCTCAGCTCAGCAAGCCGACACCGAGGCGTCCCCTCCCAGGGGCGGGCGCTGCAGAGACAGGGGAAGCGCTGGGCCCCAAGGGCCACTCGGGCCTGCGGCTTCCCCTCTCCCCTCCCGCCCCGCCGCGGCCGCCACCTCCGCCCAGGAAATCCGACCGCCTGGGGGCGGCCCAGCGTCTACCCGCCGCGGGGTACGCAGGGCGCGGAGGGCAGAGGGCGGTCCAGGTCCCTGTGGGCGGGGAGTGCAGCTCGGCGCCGCCGTGGGAGCCTCCGCGGCTCCCTCCCACCGGCGCCGGGGCGCGGCCGAGGCAGCGCGCATACCCGCCCCGCCGCTGGAAGTCCAGCCCCGCCGCCGCCAGACCAGTCAGAGCCTGGGAAAGACGCCCGCCGCGGCTTGCGAAGCGGAAGGGTCTGACGTCAGACGCACGGGGAGGGGCGGGACTCCGCCTCCCCACCCTACGGCGAGCCGGCGGGCTTGCGCAGGCGCACTTTTCCGGCCTCCCCCTCTCTTGTCTCGGCTTCTCAGGCCGCCTGTGGGTCACGTGCCAGGCGCCAGCCAAAGAGAGAACGGAGCTCCGGGCCCCCGGCGGCGAATTACTCAGCCTAGCAGGGGCGCGGGGTACCGTCTGCGGTGGCAGGCGCCTGAAGTACAGTGACGGCTCCGGAGTGCTGAGCTCCGCTGGGAGGTGGGCAGCCCCGGCACGGCCTGGCCAGGGGCTAACAGCAGCAAGTGATAGTGCTGCAGCCAGAGGGAAGGACGGGGACAAAGGCACAGGAGCAGATCTTAGGGTTGGAGTAAAGCCATGAAAAACGGAGGACTTACAGAAACAGACCCAGAAACGCAGAGCAAACTGCTGGTTGCCAGAGGGGAGGGGGTGGGGCGATGGGCAGAACGGGGGAAAGAGAGTGCGGTAGCCAGGCTTCCAGTTCTGGAGTAAGTCAAGGACTAAAAGGCACAGCATAGGGAAGATAGACAATGGTACTGTGACAGCACTGTATGGTGACACAGGGTAGCTGCGTTCCCGAGCACAGCATAATGCGTACACTTGGGAAGTCACTGTTGTACACCTGAAATGTAACATTGTGTCAACTACAATAATAAAAAAGGGTTTATATTCTCCCTGAGATGACATGGTGCATTTGTGAAAACCCAGAGGGGCACCTGGGTGGCTCTGTTGGTTAAGCGTCCAACTCTGGATTTTAGCTCAGGTTATGATCTCACTGGGTTGGAGCCCTGAGTCGGGTTCTATGCTGACAGCACGGAACCTCCTTAGCATTCTCTCCCTCTCTCTCTGCCCCTCCCCTGCTCACACTATCCCCCCCACCCCAAAATAAAACATTAAAAGAAAACATAGAATGCACAACATAAAGATAGGGAAATAAACCCTGGACTATAGTTTATGTTTCGCTATTGGCTCATCAACTATAACAAAAACATTTAATAGAAAAATTATTAACAGGGGGCGCCTGGGTGGCATAGTCGCTTGAGCGTCCGACTTTCGCTTAGGTCATGATCTCGCGGTTCCTGAGTTCGAGCCCCGCGTCGGGCTCTGTGCTGACTGCCAGCTAGCTCAGAGCCTGGAGCCTGTTTCGGTCTGTGACTCCCTCTCTCTCTGACCCTCCCCTGCTCACGCTGTCTCTCCCTCCCCTAGAAATAAATAAAACATTAAAAAAAAAAAGAAAGAAAGAAAGAAAAAAAAAAGAAAAATTATTAACAGGGGAAACGGGGGGCAGGAGTAAGGCGACACGGGACTGCACTGCCGGCTCAGTTCCAGACACCTAAAGACTCTGCTAACAATGGTCTGTTCGCTATTTGCAAATGAAGGCTTAGGTTAGGGAGCACATCCACGGGTATTCTGGTGGTCGAACACACAGGCCTTGCCGACCTTCTGGATGGCAGGGGAGGGAGGAATCCAGCACGGTTGCCAGGGCTCAGGGCAGTACCAGGAAGGACAGCCTCGGAGAAGCCCAGCGAGCAGCTGGACTTTATGCATCAGGAGCCCAGCAAGGGAGCGGCAGAGCATCTGCTCCTTCTGGCTTCCGGAAGTCCAGGGTCTCCCTTCCCTGGGCCCAAAGGTGCCGAGAGCCATCAGGCTTGGGAGACCCACCTCCAAACCCCTGATAATGCTCTTTCCTTCTACTTGGGCGGGATGCGCCATGCCACAAGGCTGTGAGGTCCACATGCCGGGGACACAGAGAGGCCGGGGAGAGGCAGTCCCCACCCCCCGCCGCCACGGTGCACAGCAGCACACACAAACTCCCCAAGGCCACTGGGTGAAGTTTATTGTGAAACCTCGAGGGCGAGGACAGGAGGGGCGGGTTGGGGGAGGGGGGGGGAGGGCAAGTGCAGGCTCTAGGAGGCCGAGTCGGAGGCCTCTGAGCTGTCCTTGACATCGGTACTCTCTGTGGTCTCGCTGACCTCGCTCAGATCCTTGCTGTCACCACCGCTATCTTCAGCAGCCAGGCCCTTGTCCTCACGGCAGGCCTCTCCCGAGCTTGGAAGCGAGTTGCCTCGGTTCTCCACCTTGTTCTCGATGGAGCCCAGCACCACGTGCCTGCCCTTCTCCTTCAGCTCGAGGTGCCGCCTCAGCTGCCGCCAGGAGCCCAGGGAGAGGCAGGAGGAAGGAGACGGGTCTGAGCCTCCAGGCCACGGAGGCCCCCCTCGCCACCCAAGCCAGGGTTCAGGGAAGCCTGCAGGACTGAGTCAGAAGACCTGGGTGGAGTCCTGGCTCTGCCCTCTGGGGACCTGTTTCCGGTCCCACACAGTGAGGGTGCCCCTGCCCCCCCCCCCCCCCCCCCCCCCCGCCCTGGGGTCGGCTGCAAAGCCCTCTGAGCAGCCCTGGCCCCTGAGGAGCCTGGGGCAGGCTGCTGACTTTCTCCCCCTCGGCCCAGCTGTCTTACCCCTGAGCCCCGGGAGGCCCTAGTTCTCAGCACACCGAGGGCCCTCCTCCCTCGCCTCTCACATCACGCCTCAGGCGGCACAGGCTTCTGGACAGAATGGGATCTCGGGGCGATAGACTCCTTTAATCCCCACCAGGGCCCAGCTCCCCACCTGTCAGCTGAAGAAACTGACGTGAACGGGGCCATGACTCCCGGCAACATGGCCGCCAAGGCTGCCACCAGTCCACGTCGCCTCTGGCCAGAGGGCCTCCTACCGTCTCCGCTCCCCCAGCTGCCCCTGAGCGCCGCAGGGCCTCCTGTGCTCTGCCTTGCTTTTCTGCATCTGTGAGGCCCGTGGCCCGGGCCCCGCAGGACACTCACCTCATCAGCCATCTGGGTGAGGTCCCGCTTCATCGCGTACGCATCTTCCCCATCTGCGTAGTATTTAGGCTCCACTTCGCTGATCCTGGGGGCGGGAGGTGGAGAAAAGGACGACCCAAATCAGGGGACAAATTCTCGTCCTTCTAGCGTCTCATCGCTGCCAGCGAGCCAGGGTATCTGTTTCTCCCCGAAGGGCCCTTTTGAAGACAGCGAGCCCCATTTCCAACGTGGCCTTCCTCTGCGCGGGCCGGCAGTGGGCGGCAAGCAGCACCCGGCGCCTCCACCCCCCTGGGGCCTGCCCCTGTCCCGTGTCCCTCACCCAGAATGTGAGCTGCAGCCCTGGGTTCAGCTGTGCCCTTGCCTCCACACCCGGTTCCGTGTCACTCACTGAGCAAGCAAGGCGCATTCCCGGGCCTGGCACTTAGAACCGAGGAGGCGGAGCGCTGCAGGTGCCCCGGCCTCCGTTCCTGACAGTCACGGCCAGGCCATGTGGCCCCCGCTCTGAGCAGCTCAGCGGCTGCGGCTGCACGGCCTAGGAGGGCCCTGCCAGCCCTAAGACCGTGGGCTTGCTAGCCGCGGGACACAGCTACGTCCCGGTCAGAGATCCCTCCTGGAACGCCCTTCCCAACAGTCCCTCTTTATCCGCCACCAAACCGGAGCTGAATGCTGTCTCAGCGGGGCCCCGGCCCAGCCTCGCTCTCCGGCAGCTTTCGCCGCCGTGTCCTGGACATATGACTTCCCTGCCGGGCTTTCTCTGTCCCGTGCCAGGCACACAGAGACTCCCACGTCCCCGAGTGGACCTGCCCTCGTCCGTCAGGACACCCAGGGCTCTGGATCCTTCCACTGCTCTGGCCGACGGCCCTACCTGCCTGGAAGTGCTGGTTCTGTAGCACCACGTTCTCCTTCCTCCTGGTCCCTCTTAGATGCATCTAGGTGCCAGCTCAGCCCAAGTCCTGCACCTTGGCTTATCCTCATGTCCTGGGCCCTCACCTCTCCTCCTGAACCTTTACCCCAACACCTGCGTGCTCCTCACCACATCGCCCTTCGCCTGGCCCCAGCCAGCGTCAAGCGACACGGCGAGCCTCACCAAACACTCTCCCGCATGGCGATGCGCCTCCAGCAAACTCCAGCAGGCAGGTGCCGTGGCCACAGACACTGGAGTCCACAGCCTGCTGCCCAGCCTGCTCCCCATCTCCTGCCTCCCCCATCCTCCCGCCTGGAAGGTGGCTCAGCCCATCTCAGCTGCCTGACGCGCCAGAGCTGGGACCACCCCGTTCCATTAGAAAACTCTTGGTCTACTTACTGAAAGTTGAGGGTGTTGGAATAGAGGTGCAGGGCGGCCCGGTTACTGCAGGGAACAAGGCACTGCTGAGCTGCGCAGACTCGGCCACACAGGGACAGCGTATCCGTATCCTCCCCCTCCCCCCACCGATCTTCCCCCCCAAACCAGGGCACCCCAGGACCGCCATCAAGACAGGATCTCCTCCCCACCCCTCCTCCTCCCTCAGCCCTGGCTTCCACCTCTTTCTGACATGCAGGGAGACGTATTTGGCATTGAAGTTCTCTATCATGGCTCGGGAGGCCTGGTCCATCAGCTTTTGTGCCAGGCCGAGGCGCCGGTGGGAACGCTTCACAGCCTGACGGGAGAGGGCGGGGGACGTTAGGGCTGCCCCAGGCAAGCCCACCTCCACCCCCCACCACAACCCCGGCCGAGCCCCACGCACCAGGGAGGTGATATGTCCATGGGGCACGTCATCTGGATCCTCCTCCCTACAGCAAGAAACGAGAGGCTAGAGAGGAACCTGGTACAGATGCACCCAGCGCCCACACCCCCAGCATGTGCCCAGAGCAGGAGCACCAAGTCCTCTGGTGACTCCAAAGTTCCCCGAGACCCGCCGTGGGGGACAGCTGAGACACTGAAATCCACTCGTGTAGCCAAAAGACAAGTGCAGTGTCAACAGACTACAATGGAAATCCTGATGGTGCTGGAAAGAAATGAGCTACCAAGCCCTGAAAAGATGTGGGAAACTTTCAACGCATAGGACTGCAGTGAAAGAAGCCAGTCTGAAAAGGCTCCATACTGTTAAGATTACAGTCATTGAACATTCTGGAAAAAGGCAAAACTACAGAGACAGGAAGTACGTGTATCAGTGACTGCCATGGGGAAGCAGAGGAGAGAAATGAAGGAACACAGGAAATTTTCAGCGCGGTGGAACTACTCTGATTCTATAAAGGCAGACACCCCTGGTTACACATTTGTCTAAATCCGTAGAAGGCTAAAATACAAAGAGTGAACCCGAATATAAAGCAGGGACCTTAGTAATGACATGGCAATACTGGTTCATCAGCTGTCACCAACATCCTGCATGACGTTAATGACAGAGAAAAGTACGGGGCAGAGGGCAAGGGGTACGTGGGAACTCTCTCTACACTTGCCACTGGGTTTTTTGTAAACCCAAAACTGAACCAAAAAGCAGTCTATTGATTAATTAAGACAAGGAAAAGCAATACAGGCAGCATCCAGCAGGCGCACATTGATGCCCACCCCCCAGGCTTCGGTCTCCTTCCTTCATGACTCACATTTTGGCGAGGACGTACCCCACAATCTTCCCGTTCTCATCCTCTGCGATGTAAGAGAGCTAGGTGACAGGGAGGAGAAAGAAGTCAGAAAAGGACCTCTTGTCAGAGCTGGAGGAGGCAGACACTTGGTCCCTCTGCCAGCCTGTCACTGTGCGCATGACAGAAACGGAACGGGTGGCGAGTTCAGTGACAGCTCCTGACCTCCGGGGCCAGTGACTTGGTTTCCTTCCGCACACCCCACTGCCGCTGCTCCCTAGCCGCCCCCGTTGGGTTTCCTTGGCCTGGTCCCCCCCCCACCCCCGACACCGGCCCCGTCCGCAAAGTGCAGGGACGCGCACCTGGGGCCAGGAGAGGCCGTGGTAGAAGTAGTACTTCATCTGGTAGTTCTCGGGCAGGCACAAGAGATTGCAGTGCTGCATGTTCATCAGGTCCTCCGGCTGCGGGGCGGGAAGGCCCAGGGGCTGTGGTGACTCAGTAGGCCTCCGCCACGTTAGAACCCTGCTCCCTGTCTACTCACCGACCCCCACCCCCGCAGGGCTGGGCGGGCGCCCGCGACTATCTGTCTCTTCATAGGCGCGGCGCACAGCCGCTGTGCAAAGATCATCTGTTCCGGGAAGGGACGTGAGCGCCGGGAGGCTCCGGGAAACCATCCGGCGGAGTCCCGACATCCCTATTCCGGTAGGTCCACCCCACGGGGACGGTAGCCTTCACCTGTCCGTGCCCTGTGGCCGCAGGCACGCGGGGCTGCCGGCCCCGGGCTCGGCCGGGCCCCTCGGGAGCATGCGCACGCGGCCACCGGCCCCCGCACCCACGCGGCGCGGACAGCCTCCCGCCCCTGCCCCTCACCCTCGCATTGCGGATGTTCATAACGGCGGCGGGGCTCGCGGCTCCCAGCGGATCGTAAACGCGCAGTCAGCTGCCGCCGCGCTGCAGGGCGACGCCGGGGCGGCCAGGCCGGGGCTGGGGCTAGCGCTGGGTCTCCGGGCTCACGGGAGTGGCGGCGGAAGGGGCGGCGCGCACCCGGCCCCGGGCACGGGCCGGAAGTGCGCGCCGCCGAACCCGCCCTCGTGGCCGCTCGGCCAATGCAGGGGGTGGGCCGGTGCGGGGGGTGGGGCCCGTCCGCGGGGCGGGGCGCGGCGCGGCGCGGGCCAATGGCCCGGCGAGCCCCGGCGCGGGGCGGGCTTGTCGGCGGAGTGGGCGGGTCCAGCGCGCGGGGCGCTACCGGTCCGGGTCCTTCGGTACCTTCCCGCCCGCTCGGAGGTCGCCCTCCTCCCGCGGCCCCCACAGACGCGCGCACATGGCCACTGGAGCGGGCTCGGTTTTATTTCGCGCCTTCGGGGCTGGGGACGGCGGGAGTGGACCGCGTGCCGGGGCTCTGGGCGAGGGCGAGGCGGCTCAGCAGGGCGTCCAGCATCTCCTCGCACATGGCGAGGCACCTCGGCACGTGGAAGCAGCCTGCGGGGAGAGGCACGACAGCGGGTTGGGAGGTCCACGGATAGCCGACTGCCCCGAGCCTCTCCGGCCCTGCCCTGTCCCCCACTCACCTTTGAAAGGACCCCCCTTGATGGTGAGAGCGACCTTCCCCTCGCGGTTCAGGTAGCCAAACCATTCACCATACTCAGGATCGCGAAACTGGAATAACAAGACCGTGACAGCCAGCACCTGCAGGAACCTCCCAGGTGCCACAAGGCCAGGGAAAGGGGCGCTCGTCGTCCCCACCGCACCGCACCCCTGGGTCAGAGCTGGGGCTGGCCCCAGGTAATGTGGCTCCAGAATCAGCGCTTTTAAAAGCGAGACGGTGTCCAGGACGTAGACGAAAACATGGGGCTTTTTCCTTCTGCCTGGCGCTGGGCGTGTGCAGCCAGCTCACCCGCTGGGGAAAGGGCCACGGGCTGTGATGTGACATGCTACAGGAGAAGGACTAACCAGCACCCTGTTTGGGGACGACAGAAACCTCATACATGGGGATCGTGCTGCTGGTTACAGAGATCCCCTGGTTCTACAAATGAACTGAGCACTTAAGATGGACGCGTTCTACTGTGTATACATTGTACCTCAATAAAACTGATAAGGAAACAAAAGTAACTTTGTAGCAAGTTACCTCCTCGAAGTCCTTGCTCCCTCCTTCCCAGGCCTGTCTTCCAGTACATGAGACTGTAGACATCCAGCACAGAGATCTGACTCTTGCCTGCCTCCGCACAGGCCCCAAACACACCTTCCCCTCCCTCAACGCCACCCGAAGCCTGCCCCTGCCCAGCAGCTCCGTTGACCCATTCTATGTTCTTTCCTTTCCTCTGCCGGCTTAGGACCGGCCACCTATCCCCTGCTGGCCTGTTAGTTCCACGCAGACACTCAGGATGGACCTCAGAGCCCTGACCTAGACCCTTCTCTTTCTTCCCCTGAGAGACACTTCAGTGGACCCCTTCTTGGAACCATCCTAGAGGAAACAATGACATTGAAGTTCACTATCAAAATGTCTTTATGGTGATGCCTCTGTGGGGCACCTGGGTGGCTCATTTGGTTGAGTGACTGACTTCAGGTCAGGCTGTGATCTCGAGCCCCCGCATTGGGCTCTCTACTGTCAGTGCAGATCTGTCAACTTCAGATCTCCCACTGTCCATCCCCACGCTCATGTCCATGCTTCCCCCTCAAAAGTAAATAAACACTAAAAAAAAAAAAAAAAAGGTAAGTTGGGGCCTATGAGCTGCTGTATTCTTCATAGGGGCTAAAACTAGTCCTGCATCTATCCATGTGATTTTTCTAGTGACTTTGTTCATGTCCTTACTTATTTTTCCACTACTTGATCTGACACAGGAAGAATTTAACTGCTTTCCTGTCCAGGTTTTCCATGGATGTCTGAATTTTTGCTTTTTGTGTTCTGTTACGTTGGTTGGCGCATAATGATTTACCTGTTGGTGACAACCTTTGTAATTGCGCAGCGCTATCACTATCTCTTGAGAATGTATTCTTTACATTTCACATTATGCAATTAACACTGCTGGCCTCTAACACATGTTCTCTATGAATGCATTCAGTATGAATCGCCCCAGTTGTCCTGGTTGGTGTGTTCGGAAGTAGTGATGTGTGTGTGCACTGCCTGGAGATGCCTCTCTACCTGCAGTGGAATATGAACACACTTGGGATTTCTATGAGTGACAAGGTCGGGCACTGCTATACCACTGTGGAGGCAAATGCTGAATTCCAGGTCGAGGTCAGTGCAAATGAGGGTGTAGTTTTCTCCCAGGTTCCAAAGCCCACACCCCAGAATGAGACCCCCTGTAGTCCCTCCGATAGCCCTACTGGGGTTTCCCAGTGCAGTGGATCATGGCTTGAGAAACACATCAGGAATCTTCTTCATCACCAGGCTTAACACCTCAGGTGCCCCCTGAGCAGCAGCTGGTACATGACTCTGCTCATAGTGCTTGGCCTCTGGGGGACCCCTGGCTTCCTTCCTACCTCACAGCTGATTCATTCTTGCCTCCTTTGCTGGCCCCTCGTATCCCCTCTTCTCTCCTCTTCAGCACTCAAAAAGCTTACTTTGCCTCACGGCTCACAGTCTCTTCTATGTTCTTATAACCCGCAAGTGATCGTGGCCAGCCCAGACCTCGCCTGCTCGACCAGACTCCGACCCCTCTGCCCACTGCAGCTCGCGCCCCAGGCCAGGCCCCGGTCCTCAGTGGCCAGGACGGACTGCTACATCCTCCCGTCTTCCTGATTTTGCCCGTGATCTAGAGTCTCCCTCCCAAAGCCCCAGGACCCAGTAATGCCTAAATCACACCAAGGTAACTCCTCTGCGCAGAGCGACTCCTGCCTTTACTCTCTCCCACTCGCCCCCCACCCCCGCCCCAGTCCCCTGCCCCCGCTCCATTGCCACAGCCCTCATGGCCATCTCCGTGTCTGTTTCCTTGTTTATATTTGGTCCCTCCTCCCACAGAAACATCAGCTCCAGAGGGGCCGCTCTGTTGACTGACTAGAGGGTCCAGACCTCTAGGAACTGAGAGCAGCCGAGGGGCCATGCCCAGTGAGGGGACAGGAGGGTGGCGTGGGATCAGCCTCCCCAGCCCAGCACAGCGTCCCCTCCCACAGCCCAGAAAGGCCTGGGCAGGAAGGGCTGCCCGCTGGTTCGTCCACACCCGTTCCAAGCCCATAGCCCACGTACCTGGCGGAAGGTGTACTCGGCCACCTGGTAGAAGAGGTGCAGTAAGGCAGGGTCCCCGCTGTCACTGTAGCCCATGAGGAAGGCAATCATGGCCTCACTGTGTGGCCACCAGAGCTTCATGGCCCACTCCAGCTGAGAGCAGAGAGCAGGTCTCTGAGAGCCCTGGGTCCCACCCTCTGTCACCTCTGTCAGCAGGAAAGCCACCCCCATTCTCCAGACCCTGGCTCAAACCCATCCGGCCCAAGCACGATGTCTCTGAGGTCTGAAGGGCCCCTCTGAATGGGACTAGCTTCCTGACTGGGGTGCACCCCGAGTAGCCCCTTCCAAAAGGCCGGGGTGGGGTGACCTCTCTTTTAACCCTGGAATCGAAACCCTGTCTTCTTGTTAGTCCATGTAACGCCTCTCGGACACTCGGCTCCCGCTGGTGGCAGGCTCAGTCACCCTCTGTCGATCTCGGCAGGATGAAAACATAATCAGAGGCAAGAGGAATAAGGGAGCAAGTCTGCCCCAGCTGCTGATGCCTCAGGAGCATCCAGAGAGCCTTTCAAAGACGAGGGGGACGCACATGAGGTTGAGGGCCGCCGGCAGAGAAGTTAAGAGTTTGTCACAGGGTCATGCTGGGCAAGTTCGCCACTCCGAGACGCAGGTCCCCCTCTGAAACGGGTGATGACAGCACCCACCTCCCAGCAAAGAAAGCCTTGAACAAACTAGTACCATGGGCCCCGGGCACATTCCCACCTGGGTGGGGCAGAGGCCATCAGCGTCCTGGAAGCAGAAGAGGCCTCCGTGCTCAGGGTCCCATCCAGAGCGGAAAGGCAGCAATAGGAACTTATCAATAACGTGGGCTCGAAGTTCAGGGTCGCCCTTCCTGATGGCATGACGGAGCAGGAACCAGCCAGCTTCCAGCGCGTGGCCTGCCAAGTACTCTCGGTCAGGCAGGCAGCGGGTCCTCCTCCAAGCAGGGGAAGGGCGGGGGGGGAGCTCCTGTGGCGCCCCAAGGTGGCTCCCTTCCCCCTTCACTAACAGCCACGCCCCTGCAGAAAGCTTGCCCTCCGAGTCTGTCCTTGACCACTCGTCTCCTGCTGCAGACTCCCCAGCCCGGGAGGCCCGTCCCCTGCTCCTTGCCTGGCCCTCAGCAGCAAGTGGAGGGCACAGATGGAGCGAGGCAGCCTCCAGGCACTCCCCACATCTGGAGCCCAGACCCCAAGAGTGAGCGTCCCCTTCCCCCAGCCCACCCTACTCCTCACCTGGGTTCTGGTGTCTCCCCAGGCAGCCGGAAAGTTCCTGGCCATCCTCTGACACGTTCTCCAGCACAGCCTGTCCATCCCTCTGACGAGGGAGGAACGGGAGAAGGTAAACGTGTCTTCAGCCCCTGCCATCCAACCAGAAAGATCCCCCCTCTCCCTTCTCTGTGACCTGCAGTTTGGGGCAGGCCTGGCTCACAAGGGCAAGTTGAGAAGACTTGCACCTAAGGGCCTGGGTGCATTCTGACTCTCGCTTCAGGCTGGGCCCTGAGAGGCGGGAAGGGTGACCACTGAATGAGGGCTGAGACTGGGTTGGCTGTCCTGGAACACACAGAG